CATCCTCTCTTAGGACTTGTCGTTGCGCTTACGGCCACCATTGCCTGCTGCCGCTTTTTGTGCTGGGAGGGATTCTTGTGAACGGGCGGTTTCCCGGCCAACACGCGGACATTTTTGCCCCCGTTTACCAAGTCCGTAGGCTTTCGCGGCCAATATTGTCCGTAATATAGGGTTGTTTTTTTTTGGGTTAGATCATGTAAATCTAAATGTGTGGTTGAACCCGCCGCCACCCGACGTAATAAACCTATTCACGTGACAAACCTTACTAATTGGCTGTGTCGGGTGGTGGCGGGTTTAACGACACATTTATATTTACGTGACCAAACCAAAAGAAAACAATGGTTAAAATATTGATTATTATAACAATGGATCACCAACTCGAACCAATTGTGATTCTTATAGAATACAGGTTTTTTTAGGTTAGATCACTTAATTATATAAATGTGTCGTTCAACCTGCCACCACCCAACACAGCCAATTAGTAAGGTTTGTCACGTAAACGGAACATGCCAATTCGTTACTAGTGCAGCACACCGGTGTGTTGGGAGAGTAAAGCCACAACATTTACAATCTGAGTATGACGTTTCGCCAGTAATTTCAACTAGCTTCATCAGGCGACAGTCAGATTTGATTCTTATGCTCACCGTGTACATGGAGGTGTACAGATAATCGGATGCCGTTCTGCAACCTCGTCACCCCCTCAAAGTCCTCGCGTGCGTGCGATGGTGCGTGCGCGCGTCGGCTGGTGTTGGGAGCAAGAGCGAGTCGTGTCGCAGTTGACGACAAATGGAGGATCGTGCCAGTGGAAGCAAGGGAAACAACGCGAGCGTTACTACCGAAACGTTATTCCATCGTGTATTGATGAGCAACCACCCCGGTGTCCTCGTTCACGGTCACTGCCAGGAAAGATCGATGAACAGTGGGCACGGCTCACACTGTTATGGCTCTCATGGGCATCCAACGAGTCACCCCACAAGGTAATAACGTAGCTGTGATAACCGGGTTTAACGCAATTACCAAACACCTCCGTGTGCTAATTATGTATAAGGGTAAAGGTGCAGGGCTGCAGTGTTTTGCTCGAGGTGTGACACGTAGGAACCTCCATGAGAGAGGGGCGCTCTTCTACGCTGGTATTTGGCCTACTCTTCCACTGCCGTGCACGATTTACTCAACTCGATTGCATTTCTAGCTGGGTTTTATAAGTTGCTTCCCTGACATCCACCGATACTCAGTTGGATATTTTTTATTTGGGTTTTATTGTCTTGTGATTGGGTTTCTACTGGTGTGGTCAGTTTTTTGTTTAAAAGTTTTACCTCGACTGTACAGTGCTTTGAGATTACCAGCTTGAAAGGCGCTTTATAAAACTGATTTTATTATTATTATTATCATCAGCATCTCGTCGTATGGAATCTTGACCAGGAATCGTGACACTTTCACGTTTCCCGGTCAAGTTAAAATCTAGTGGTGGCTAGGAGATGTTAACTACCTCGCCTGGTATACAGGAGGTCGTGGGTTCGATCCCGACCCTGACGCCTGCATGTTCTCTCCATGGTCGCGTGGATTTTTCTCCAGGTCCTCAGGTTTTCCCCTCCACATCTAGAAATACACTTTTAGATTATTTGGCTGCTATATTTCCACGTGATAAGCCACTCCATTGCGGCCAAGGTCGCTTCTGAAAAACACCTGCATTGCTCGGTGGGGCCTTGCCTGGTAAAATAAAAATAAATAAAAAGTGTATTATTATCTTAGATTCGTGTGTGCAGCTGAAGGATGTAAAGATAGTTGCAAGGCCACACTGCCTCCACACCCCCCCCCCCCCCCCACGTTGGTGCGCGTGTGCGACGTGCCGGCCTTAAACAGCTGTTCGCTCACCGCTGCTGTGGCTCGGTGGGGGGGCGACGTGGCGGAAAGTGTTTGTACGGGAATGCGCGCCGTGCGGCCGCCGTTGTGTGCAGAAGAGAAGGCAGCTGTTGCCATTAGTGGGCTTCCCTCCCCTGAGAACCCGTAGCACCTGGGAATGTCCCGTGACCTCCCCCCCCCACCCAGTCTCCTCTGCTACACACACACACAGCGTGGCGGTGATTAGGTGTCCCCTGCTGCACGTCTCTCCCGCCACACTTCTGAACGTGTGTACGTATGTTGAACTTCTTTTGCGCCGTACGTTAGCCAACCGTGCTCCTCGGAGGTGCCGAATAAGGACAGCATATTAAAAACAAAAAGCGGTTGTATAGAAATGACTCTTCAATCTAAACTTAAATGCGCATCGATCCCAGTGGCTGCCTTATATCGGAAGGAAGAGCGAGCAGTATTTCAGACGGCCGCAGAAGCGCATCTTAAGGCGCGCGGTGCGGTGACCACCGTCTTTGTACGATGGCCACTCGAAAGCCGCCGCCGCTGCTGCTGCTGCTGTGAAGATGAGAATCTGCACCTCCCTTGCTGTCACTTCCCGTATCTCTCTTCCGATTACATCTCTCTCCCCTATCTCAATCCCTTCCGAAGGGGTGCACCTTGGAGCGGCCGAGCCGCATGACTGCAGACGACCCGTCGAAAACCCTCCCTCCCAGCTCGTCGCGAAAGGCTCGCGACACGGATGAGAGCCCCTCGGAGTCCGTTGTTATCGTGTTGATGGGATGGGGGGTGGGACGAGACCAAGCCCCCCCCCCCCGCCTTCCTGTTTACGGGTAGCTGTGACAATGCGTAGATTAATTAGTTGATTAGTAACAATGCAAACAAGACGACATAGCACAAAGGGAGTAGTTCAGTTTGTAATTGCAGCTCTGAATAATTAAGCGAATTGTCATGGCATGTGGAGATGGGCGCTGGATTTACCCCCCACCCCCTGCTCCCAATGTTTACTAAGTTGCTGCTCAGCCCTGCAGCTCATGATGTACATATGTACTGTGTGTGAGTTGAACTTCTTTTGCACCGTACGTAGCCAACCTTGCCAATCAGAGGTGCAAGCACATCCACGTAACAGAGCCCCGGTCTACGTCTGCGCACACAAACACGCGTTCTCGTATCCCAGCAGCATCTATTGCTCTCCCCACCCCCCCACCCGCCATGTATTTTGGAATCCGCTCGGGGAGTGTGCTTGCTGGAACAGATGCTTGCCACGGATAATATTGAGGGTGGTGCCGTGAGGTAGGCCCGGTGGGCTCGAACACGCGGCGATGCAAAACCGGCTACCACGCATAACGAGGTCACGTGCGGCGACATTTCCACGGGGAGCCCTCGAGTTGCCAGGTTTTATAATTCAGCGGTACGTTATCTCCGGGATATCCCTCTTCTTAACAAAAGGCCGTTATTTTAGTTTTTGTTTTTAAACACAACTAATTCGCAGCCCGAATTGCTATCCTAGTGGAATCGCTGGAACGCCATCCGGCGCCGTTGTGCGCCTAGGGGGCCGTCCATAAATGACGTCATGCACCTTGGGGGGGGGGGGTCAGACATTTGTGACGATGTGTGACGAGGGGGGGGAGGTTTAGAAGTGTGACGTCACATCAAAATGCACAACTTTAAATAAATATAGACAACACGTTCTACTTAATTAAGCTGACTTTTTATAAATGTTTTCTCCTACAACATCAGAGTGCAGCGCCACATTAAATACGCACTACAATGACAATAGTTTAAAGCGATTTTAAGCATGTTTTATTTTCAAAATGGAAATATGTTTTTTTTGTGGGGGGGGGCAGAGCTTCGTGACGTCATATTTGAGGGAGGGTCTGACTTTTTGTGACACCGTGTGACGAGAGGGGGGGGGTCAAAATTGTCCAAAATCACGTGACGTCATTTATGGACGGCCCCTAGGAAAGGACAACATTATTATCGCTGTCCCACTGCCACGAAACACTGCACGGCGGCGGAGCGGTCGTCACTTTTCCACGGCGGTTCGAATCCGGCAGGCAATGCACCCTGGTTATAATATCCCTCACACTGTGGCGTATTCACCATAAAATACTATGGGCCGTCTGCTTCATAGTGAACGTCGCGTTGGTCCTGTGACCGTCAAATCACTGCGCTTGCCGGCGTCGCGCGGTCCAAGTTTAGCCACGTTTAGAAGAAATTTTGAAAAATCTAGCAAATCCCCTCGATTGGGATTACACAAAGCAGCAATCGCCTCTGTCCCTTCACTCCCGGCAGACCAATGGCCACTTGCAGGCCAGGTGCTGTGTACCTCGTGCCGCACGGGGACAGTTGCCACGGGGGGGTGCCCTTGGAATGTTTTGAGGTGCGATCTAAAAGCATTTTTTGAGTTGGCATATCAATGTTGTTATTAATGCTCATAAGAGGGCAAACTCGTGGTTGGAAAGCGTAACAATGTCCAGGCTTACACACCATGATTGCACCTTGTGTTTGTTAACTACCTTGCCTGGTATACAGGAGGTCGTGGGTTCGATCCCGAACCTACTGCCTGCTGTTATTTGGAGTTTGCGGTGTCCCTCTCCCCATGGTCGTGTGGATTTTACTCTGGGTCCTCTGGTTTTTCCCTCCACATTTAGAATCAACGTCACGCGTTTAGATTATTTGGCTGCTTTAAATTTCCACTTGACGATAAGCCACTATTATTAATACTCATAAGAGGGCAGATGCGTCCACGTGTACGCGCAATGATTGCACCTCGTGTTTGTTTGTTAACTACCTCGCCTGGTATACAGGCGGCCGTGGGTTCGATCCCAACCATTACGCCTGCTGTATATTTGGATTTTGCATGTTCTCCCCGTGGTTGCGTCGATTCTTCTCCGGGTCCTCCGGTTTTCCCCTCCACATTTAGAATCAACATCACGTGTTTAAGAGTATTTGGCTGCTATAAATGTCCACGTGATAAGCCACTTCGTTGAGCTGTCACTTGTGATAGCCAAGGTTCCGCTTCTGAAAAAGAGCACCGTAGCGCCGTAGCAGCTCGGTAACAAAAAATTGCGTAGTCTTTTTGTTTGTTTTAAAATCGTCAAACCTCGTGAATTAAACTGCTTGCGTCACCTTTGTCTTGTGCTCATCAGCTGGTGGCCGCCGACCCCTCGGAGACCGGCTCACAGTGCTCGGAGCCCAAGGCGGAGCTGCCCCCGCCGCTGGAGCGGACAGGCGGCATCGGAGACTCGCGGCCGCCCTCCTTCCAGTAAGACCCCCACCTGGCACACCGCGTCCAGTATACACTCTGGCTGTTAGGCTGAGGAGCCTAGTCATTCCGCTCACGTAGTCTAAGCCGGTGGTTTCTCAACCAGGAGGGGTATGTGGGGACCCGGCGGGGTTGGGGGGTACCTGGAAATGTCCCGGGGGGGGGGGGGGGGTTACGCGAGGTGATTTATAAACCTGCGAAATTTTATTGTACGTGAAAGGCATTTGGTGAGCGATCACGTATTAATCTGCCAGGATAAAATAACTACGATAACATTTTTAATCCATTCGGTAACCTAGAAGGATATAAAAGACCTTTCTGAACTCGTTGATTGTAAGCAATGTTGGTTTCCAAGAGCAACCAGCGTGCGCGGACAAATAACATCACGCACGCAGAGTGTCCGTTGATATTTTTTTTATTTATTCGCTTGCAGTTAATAACTTGTTAGGATGATACGTCTCAAGATGGTCAAAATGTTGATGTTCATTATTTGTACATTTATTTCCTCAGGACCATGTTGGGTCAGGCCAAGGGGGTTGCTCGGTTTAATTAAAATTCAACAATGGGAAGTGCAACAGTAGCCAAATAAGGTTGAGAACCACCGCTGCAGGCTATTCCAGCAACCCAGAAAATATTCATCTGTATTCAGTGACTGATTTAAGCCCCGGCGTGAGACTGCATCTCTCCGTGAGTCCACAGGGTCTCTATAAGATTGTGTCTCTTGTGTGAGTTTATTTAAGTCTTTTATGGTATCTGTGGGTCTCTGTGTCAGCCAGTGGGTGTCTCTGTGAGACCAGGGCTTAATTTCAGCCAGGTCTGTTCATGTCTGTGACATATTTCCACACTCAGCACACCACATCCAGTATACCTTTTGCAGTGAGCTGTGGATGCTAGTCACATGCCACTTGGGTTTACTATCGACCCTTTTAAACGTTTCTGCACCCAGCACACCACATCCACTGTACCTCTCAACTTCATCATTAGCGTCACCTTCACCATGATTATTATCATCATCATCGTCGCCAAAATCTCTTGTGGTGTCGGCCACACCACCCTCCTGCGTTCCGTGTCGGCCTTCACAGGTGCTCACCAACAGCCTGTTAAAGGGTTACACGACAGATCTCAGTTGTTCTTGTTTGCATGTCTCAGCCCCAACCCTGCCGGCAGCCAGGAAAGCCTGGACCGGGCCACAGACACGGAGTCGGTGCTGTCGGCGCGGAGCGAGAGACGGTCGCGGAGAGACCGGGATCCTCGGCATGAGCACACAGGTGCGCGGGAATCTCCCATCTCGAGCCGTCCCGCCAATTCCCGCCCCCCCCCCCCCCCCCCACAACGCCACCGACACCACTGCATTCATTCAGAACTGCCGGGTTACTCCGGGCAGGGATGGACGGGCGGATCGTTGGAGGATGCTCCAACGTGAGCAGCCGCCGCCCACCGCCACCCTCCTCCCCGTCACTGGGGTCACGCTGGCGGTCACGCTCAACAGCTGTTCCACCAAACCCCCACCCCCACCGTGCCGCTCTGGCCCGCGTGCGCCCGCAGGCTCAGAGCGGCCTCGTGGGACGCCGCAGCAGGCGCAGGATTAGCGGCAGCGTCGGATCGCGGCGCCTTTCCTGCTCAGGGTGACAGCGTTGCTGCATTAGCTCCATCCGTCCGTCCGTATCTCTGTGTCCGGGTTGGTGAAGGCGGGGGAGCGTAGACGTAGGAATGTACAAGTACAGAACAGCGGGGGGGGGGGGGGGGTTCGCTGCACTGCACTTTGAAGGTAGAGCTGCGATATCCGCTTCCGTGGGCTGTTCTCTGAACAATAATTGGGGGGGGGGGGGTCGCGCTGCTCTGCGAGATTTTCCGAATGGATCCATCTCGTGACGCGAAGCTGATTGCACAATCGGGATGAAAACCTGGAGAAAACGAAAACAGGTTTTAAGATAACGCACCGCAGCCAATATTGCAAGAGATTTTTTGGTTAGGTCACGTAACGATCTGGAAACAATCCGTGTCATTGAGACCCTCCGATGTTTGGCCGTGTCGGGTGGTGGAGGGCCTTTACAACACAAATTAATGCCAGATCATCGTGGCCTAACCTAAAACAACCAGAATTATCGTCGTCATCTTTGACATTGTCGTCGATGACGCTGTTGATGTTTTCGCCACAGGACCAAGGCCGAATGGGCTGGTGAAGCCCGTGCCAGGCCGGCCGCTGCATGCGCCGCAGCACCCTCACCACGCCCCACCTCACCATGCAGTGGCGGCTCCCCACCACCATCACCACCACGCGGCGCCAGCGGCGCCTCACCAGCACGCGTACGACGCGTCGAGCGTGGTGAGCAGCGAGCTGGAGGAGACGAGCGCCTTCGACTCGGAGGAGGACGAGGATGACGACAACGCCAGCCGGTGAGCGATGCCCGGGAGGGGCCCCTGCTCGCCCCAGCACCAGCACGCATACACACACACACACGCGCACCGCAACGTTGGGCCGACGTCGGCGTGCGGGGCTGTGACCGATGACGTTGGCCCGATGTAACACGGCCGGCCAATCGCTCTTGTTCGTCAACTCGGCTGGATGTCTTCGGTTCCACTGAAGAATTTACTCCCGCCGTCCCTTTTTGCATTCTTTTATCCAATACAACGTGGGTGGTGCTGTTTTCTGCCATGGTGGTGAGATGTAACTCCCTCGCCTGGTATGCAGGAAGTCGTGGGTTTGATCCCCGATCCTGACGCCTTCTATATATTTGGTATTTGCATGTCTCCCCGTGGTCGCGAGGATATTTCTCCAGTTCCCCCGGTTTTCACCTCCGCATTTAGAACGTCACGCGTTTAGAGTATTTGGCTGCAATACATTTCCACGTGATAAGCCACTTCGTTGGGCTGTCGTTTGTGATGGCCCGGTCGTTTCTGAAAAGGAGCTGTGCATCTCAGTGGCCCTTACCTGGTAAAATAAAACATAAAAAAAAATAGTTTGTTGCTGGTCACTTGAAGTTTTGGGCCTCCAACAAGTTAATAATCGCCATCAACTGTTATCAATCCACTGCTGGATGAAGGCCCCTCCCCAAGATGCCGAGTATCTCTCACGATCCCGCGAAGCGACAATCCACCCAGCACCTGCACGCGAGACGACTTAATCGCTCAGTTTCCACGGCCGACGTCCTTCGCTCAACTGCCACTCTTACCGCTAATCTCCACCATCGGGCCTCAACCCTTGCAGGCCACTTAAAACTATAAACTATAAAAACTAAACTATTGTTGTGCATTTTTACCAGGTAAGGCTCCAGGCGAGATAGCTAACAAACAAAGTGTAGTCATTGTGTGTATGCCTGGAGATCGTCACGCTTTCCAACCACGTGTTTGCCCTCTTATGAGCATTAATAATAACAATAATAATGATATTCCAACTAAAAAAATACTCAGTTTAACACGTAGGCTTTCGCGACCAATATTATTCATAAGGTTTTTGGGTTAGATCGCAAAAAAAGTGTCACGTTGACAAAAGACAATGGTCGTTTGTCAACGTGACACTTTTTTTGCTGATGGCCGTGTCGGGTGGTGGAGGGTCACGCCACATTTATAAATAACGCGATCTAACCCAAAAACCTTTATTATGAATAAAATAATACTTTTACCTTTCATCTCAAACATTCCAAGGGTACCCCCCAGTGGCAGTTGCCGAATGCAAACACCAAATATTCTGCAGGCGTCAGGGTCGCGATGGAACCCCACGACCTCCGGTGTATACCAGGCGAGGTAGTTAACATCTCCTAGCCACCGCGGCGACCCTCAACGTTTCTTGAGTTAAACGTACGTGATCGACCTGCTGCGCAATTCACGCGTTCCCTCTCTCTGATTCTCCGAGTCGTTCCGAGCGGACCACTCTCCGTCCTTCTTCGTGAGCCGTTCAGCACTTGTTCCATTTCCTTCGTTAATCTCCCCGTCTCTGAGCCGTGTGTCAAACCAGGCGAGAGATGCCACGTATATATTATGATTTTTTTTTTAATTCAGCGCATTCGTCAATGACACCGTGGCCTTCAAAGTAAATATATGTAACAGGCAACGTTTCGGGCTTTGTCCCTCGTTCATAGCACGTAACTGCATCCATCTATCTAGATGACTGTCCAGGAGCCGCGGCTCTTGCCTGCTGGCCACCCTGCTGGCCACCCTGCTCCCATCGTGATGACTGCTGCTGCTGCTGTGTCCGTGTAACCGCCGGCCCGCGCCTGCGTGCGTGCTCCATCTAGGTTCAGCACGTCCACCGAGCAGACGGGCTCCTCGCGGCTTCTCAAGCGCCACCGCCGCCGGCGGAGGAAGCACCGCATGCAGGAGATGGACCGGGTGGGTGGCTCTCTCTCCCCTGTCTCAGCCAGGCTTCCAACAGGCCCGGCAGAAGCACGCGGGACGCAAGCCAACCGCGATTTCATATCACACGGTTTCATTTCTTGTGTCCAACGACTCTATTTCATGTATCCCACGACTCCATTTCATGTGTCGCATGACTCCATTACATGTCCCACGACTCCATTTTATGTATCCCACGACTCCATTTCACGTATCCCATGACTCCATTTCATGTGTCCCACGACTCCATTTCATGTCCCATGACTCCAGTTCATGTACCCCACGACTCCATTTCATGTATCCCACGACTCCATTTCATGTATCCCACGACTCCATTTCATGTATCCCACGACCCCATTTAATGTGTCCCATGACTCCATTTCACGTGTCCCATGACTCCATTTCACGTGTCCCATGACTCCATTTAATGTGTCCCACAACTCCATTTCATGTTCCAAAACTGCATTTCATGTTTCCCATGACACCATTTCACATCCAACGACTCCATTTTATGTATCCCATGACTCCATTTCATGTGTCCCATGACTCCATTTCACATGTCAAATGACTCCATTTCATGTGTCCCACAACTCCATTTCATGTATCCCATGACTCCATTTCACGTGTCCCATGACTCTATTTCATGTCCCACGACTCCATTTCATGCCCCACGACTCCATTTAATGTATCCCACGACTGCATTTTTTTGTATCCCAGGTCTCCATATTATGTAGTCCAGGTCTCCATTTCACGTGCCCCATGCCTCCATTTCATGTATTCCATGACTCGATTTCATGTATCCCACGACTCCATTTCATGTGTCCCACTACTCCATTTCATGTATCCCAGGACTCCATTTCACGTATCCCATGACTCCATTTCACGTGTCCCACTACTCCATTTCATGTATCCCAGGACTCCATTTCACGTATCCCATTACTCCATTTCATGTGTCCCACTACTCCCATTTCATGTATCCCAGAACTCCATTTCATGTATCCCAGAACTCCATTTCATGTATCCCAGAACTCCATTTCATGTATCCCAGGACTCCATTTCATGTATCCCATTGCTCCATTTCATGTGTCTCACTACTCCATTTCATGCATCCCATTACTTATTTTCACGTATCCCACGACTGCACTTCATCTCCCACGACTCCAGTTCATGTTTCCCATGACTCCATTTCACGTGTCCCACTACTCCATTTCACGTGTCCCACTACTCCATTTCACGTCCCACTACTCCATGTCAAGTCCCATGACTCCAGTTCATGTACCCCACGACTCCATTTCATGTATCCCACGACTCCATTTCATGTATCACATGACTCCATTTTATGTATCCCACGACCCCATTTAATGTGTCCCAAGACTCCATTTCATGTATCCCACGACAACATTTCACGTGTCAAATGACTCCATTTAATGTGTTTCACGACTCCATTTCATGTGCCCCATGAATCCATTTCATGTATCCCATGACTCCATTTCATGTGTCCCACGACTCCATTTCATGTATCCCAGGACTCCATTTCATGTATCCCATGACTCCATTTCATGTATAGTTTAAAACCATTTTACGTATCCCAGGACTCCATTTCATGTATCCCATGGCTCCAATTCATGGATCCCACGACAACATTTCACGTGTCAAATGACTCCATTTGATGTGTTCCATGGCTCCATTTGATGTGTCCAATGACTCCATTTCATGTGTCCCATGACTCCATTTCATGTGTCCCATGAATCCATTTCATGTCCCACGACTCCATTTCATGTCCCACGCCTCCATTTCATGTCCCACGACTCCATTTCATGTATCCCATGACTGCATTTCACGTGTCCCACGACTCCATTTCATGTTTCCAATGACACCATTTTACGTATCCCACGACTCCATTTCATGTGACCTACGACTCCATTTCATGTTTCCCACGACTCCATTTCACGTGCCCCATGACTTCATTTCACGTCCCATGACTCCATTTCATGTGTCCCATGACTCCATTTCATGTCCCACGACTCCATTTCATGTCCCACGACTCCATTTCATGTATCCCATGACTCCATTTCATGTTTTCCACGACTCCATTTCACGTGTTCCCTGACTCCATTTCATGTATCCGACGACTCCATTTCATGTATCACATGACTCCATTTTATGTATCCCACGACCCCATTGAATTTGTCCCATGGCTCCATTTCATGTATCCCACGACAACATTTCACGTGTCAAATGACTCCATTTCATGTGTTCCACGGCTCCATTTCATGTGTCCAATGACTCCATTTCATGTGTCCCATGACTCCATTTCATGTGTCCCATGACTCCAGTTCACGTGTCCCACGACTCCATTTCACGTGTCCCACGACTCCATTTCATGTCCCATGACTCGAGTTAATGTATCTCAGGACTCCATTTCACGTATCCCATGACTCCATTTTATGTATACCATGACTCCATTTCATGTGTCCCACGACTACCTTTCATGTGTTCCAGGACTCCATTTCATGTCCCATGACTGCACTTCATGTATCCCACGACTCCATTTCATGTATCCTATGACTGCATTTCATGTGTCCCACGAGTCCATTTCATGTGTCCCACGACTCCATTTTATGAATCCCAGGACTGCATTTCACGTGCCCCATGCCTCCATTTCATGTATCCCATGACTCAGTTTTACGTATACCATGGCTCCATTTCATGTATCCCACGACTCCATTTCATGCTTCCAATGACTCCATTTTACATATCCCACGACTCCATTTCATGTTTCCCACGACTCCATTTCACGTGCCCCATGACTCCATTTCATGTATCCCATGACTTAATTTCATGTATCCCATGACTCCACTTCACGTGTCCCATGACTCCATTTCACGTGTCCCATGACTCCATTTCATATCCCATGACTCCATTTCATATCCCATGACTCCATTTCATGTATCCCATGACTCCATTTCATGTCCCACGACTCCATTTCATGTCCCACGACTCCATTTCATGTCCCATGACTGCACTTCATGTATCCCATGACTCCATTTAACGTGTCCCATGACTCCATTCTATGTCCCACGACTCCATTTCATGTATCCCATGACTCCATTTCATGTATCCCACGACAACATTTCACGTGTCAAATGACTCCATTTAATGTGTTTCACGGCTCCATTTCATGTGCCCCATGACTCCATTTCATGTATCCCATGACTCCATTTCATGTGTCCCACGACTCCATTTCATGTATCCCAGGACTCCATTTCATGTATAGTATAAAACCATTTTACGTATCCCATGACTCCATTTCATGTGTCCCACAACTCCATTTCATGTCCCACGACTCCATTTCATGTCCCACGACTCCATTTCATGTATCCCACGACTCCATTTCATGTATCCCATGACTCCATTTCATGTGTCCCACGACTCCATTTCATGTTTCCAATGACTCCATTTTACGTATCCCACGACTCCATTTCATGTGACCTACGACTCCAATTCATGTTTCCCACGACTCCATTTCACGTGCCCCAGGCCTCCATTTCATGTATCCCATGACTTAATTTCATGTATCCTATGACTCCATTTCACATCCCATGACTCCATTTCATGTATCCCATGACTCCATTTCATGTATCCCATGACTCCATTTCATGTGTCCCATGACTCCATTTCATGTCCCACGACTCCATTTCATGTCCCACGACTCCATTTCATGTATCCCATGACTCCATTTCATGTTTCCCATGACTCCATTTTATGTATCCCATGGCCCCATTGAATTTGTCCCATGGCTCCATTTCATGTATCCCACGACAACATTTCACGTGTCAAATGACTCCATTTCATGTGTCACATGACTCCATTTCATGTGTCCCATGACTCTATTTCACGTATCTCATGACTCCATTTCATGTATCCCACGACTCCATTTCATGTATCCCACGACTCCATTTCATGTATCCTATGACTGCATTTCATGTGTCCCACGAGTCCATTTCATGTGTCCCACGACTCCATTTTATGAATCCCAGGACTGCATTTCACGTGCCCCATGCCTCCATTTCATGTATCCCATGACTCAATTTTACGTATCCCATGGCTCCATTTCATGTATCCCACGACTCCATTTCATGTTTCCAATTACTCCATTTTACGTATCCCATGACTCCATTCCATGTCCCACGACTCCATTTCATGTATCCCACGACAACATTTCACGTGTCAAATGACTCCATTTCATGTGTCACATGACTCCATTTCATGTGTCCCATGACTCTATTTCACGTATCTCATGACTCCATTTCATGTATCCCACGACTCCATTTCATGTATCCCACGACTCCATTTCATGTATCCTATGACTGCATTTCATGTGTCCCACGAGTCCATTTCATGTGTCCCACGACTCCATTTTATGAATCCCAGGACTGCATTTCACGTGCCCCATGCCTCCATTTCATGTATCCCATGACTCAATTTTACGTATCCCATGGCTCCATTTCATGTATCCCACGACTCCATTTCATGTTTCCAATTACTCCATTTTACGTATCCCATGACTCCATTCCATGTCCCACGACTCCATTTCATGTATCCCACGACAACATTTCACGTGTCAAATGACTCCATTTCATGTGTCACATGACTCCATTTCATGTGTCCCATGACTCTATTTCACGTATCTCATGACTCCATTTCATGTATCCCACGACTCCATTTCATGTATCCCATGACTCCATTTAATGTGTTTCACGGCTCCATTTCATGTGCCCCATGACTCCATTTCATGTATCCCATGACTCCATTTCATGTATCCCACGACAACATTTCACGTGTCAAATGACTCCATTTCATGTGTCCCACTACTCCCATTTCATGTATCCCAGAACTCCATTTCATGTATCCCAGAACTCCATTTCATGTATCCCAGAACTCCATTTCATGTATCCCAGGACTCCATTTCATGTATCCCATTGCTCCATTTCATG